TCTGTCAGGCACACCAAACCGGAAGCAAAAAGCGCCTACCTGGAGTAACATACACCGATTTGGGAGTTAAGATAGTAGGTTATGTAGGTAATGTGGCAGACATGTGAATACTAATTAGTGGTTAGAGAAGGAAGTACAAAAACCAGGTTAATTACATATGTGAGAGTGTGATAGCTCTGGTGGTTTTAGCTGTGAATAAATGGTTTGTATACTTGATGTCCTAGTTTCAATACTTATATGTAATATTTAGTGTTTATGGCACTATCATATATCAATTCATTTAAATATTAATAAATAAGTTTGGGGCAGGTGCTACACTAGGGTACTCCTCTAAATATTAAAAAAAAAAAAAAATTATAATACTGATAATTACGAAGCAATAGAAATTTTAATTAACTAAACAAAAAAAGATTTTTATTCAACTTGTTCTGTAATAGTATTAAATCTATCAACTATGATATTAGAAATGTGTAACAAGCCAAGTACTCAGATTGTGAAATCTTATTAGAAACTAGAAGATTAATTCAATATATATTAAAGAAGTTGGTAATAATCCTGGAAAACTTAAGATTTGTGAATCTCATTTTAATTTAGATCAAGCTTCTGATTTTTATCTAACTGGATCAAAGCAAAATACTGATCCTACTTCTGCTATAATATCTTATAAATGATGTCTTTATTGTAATTATAATTTTCATGTATTTACAAAAGGAAGGAATTATAAAACTAATGCTAGACATATAATTGGCAAGGATATTATGTTACTATATATTACTTTATATGCTTGCAATGCTTTGATAATGCATAAATCAATAGTATATAAAAAATTAAGTCAAGAAAAAAATTATCATCGTTCACATTATATTTGTCAAACTTGTTTTACAAAGAATGGAGGTTATATATATACATCTCCAGGACAAGAAAAAAAAAGAGCCAATTGTATAGATGCTCATAATGATGAAAATAGAATAGGATTGCATATTATTAGAAATTGGATATTGAATATTAGATTATCATCTGATAAAGATTTAAAATGAAATTTACTTTCTAAGTTATTATATTTATTAACATTTTATTGGAAAAATGGTCACTTGAATGATTCAAATCAACTTTATATAAAAGACTCAAATTCTGGGTTTATATTAATTGTTACCAATCCTCCAAGTATTTTTATAATTAATACATATTTAAAACTTGGAAAAGCAAGTAAATTAATACAACAAAATTATAAAAAAATACTTCCTGATGATTCATTCAAATTTGGACAAAATCTGGGCCAGCTACTTCTTTCAAGTAATCAAATAATTAATGCAAACAAAGAAAAACTTGAATCTTCATCATCACTAACAGAATACTTTAATATATTACCTAAAATTATTACAAATTTTTTTTATAAATTGGTTAAAGTTTTATTAAAACATATACATAAAATTGCAGAAAGGTAATGGAAAAGAAGAATGTTACAAAAATCTGAATCTATAGAATATAGTAATCAGCAATTTATATCTTTAGAATATAATTAAAAATCTGATCCAATAACTTTAATTCATATTACCCTTACCTCCTATCATCAATATTAATATAACTAACTCACCCATCCCTGCTATCTTTAATAACAGTGATGCCTTTTCAAAATTAATTGAGATTTCATTATCCAACCTATCCCAACACCAATTCACCTTCTACACTGATGGCTCTGTAAAACAACTTGGCACTAATCAATGTTCAATGGGCATTGGCTAGGTCCAAGTCCACCAAAACCAAGTTACTCAAAGCTTCTCTGCCCAAATTCTCAACTGGCCCTTCTCATACAAAGCAGAACTACTAGCAATAATCTTAGCTATTTTTGCACTTCCTCGCAACTCAACTATAGAAATCTTCACTAACTCACAATCTGTTATTTCTAAATACAATAAACTTCAAACTTTATCATTCCATTTACCAAAACAATTCAAATTCAATATCTGGCCTATATAGCACACACTTCTCAATATTCTCAAAGCCTACAATATCCAACTCCTCTTTTACAAAGTTCAAGCCTATTCTGACAACCCTTTTAATAATCTCGCAGACTTACTAGCAAATAACCACTCTACCTCACCAATTCTATACTTTAAC